AATTGTCCTGTTTTTGTTGCCTTAGAATGAGCCGTTTATATCTACGTACAGAGGGGATCGTTATCGTCCCATACAGTCCGCCATGTTTGACAAACTAAACATTAGCATTTTCGCGTCAGCCACTGTAGAGCAGCCCCTCTGTGACGAACCAAACAGCAGTGGAATAACACTCTTTATTCTGTGTTTTTTACGGGTTAAAATCTGGTCCATTTGCTTTGGAGATGAGGAGACCTTTGTGGATAATTCGGGCTCCAGGTAAAAACCTCCTGAATTTTTGGATCAGAAAAAAGATGAGCACATATTAGCATGTGCTGGGCTAGCAGGCCATCTGCGACAAGCCAAACAATGTGAGAGAAACACTGATTTGTAACGTAAAATTGCTTTATTCAGTGCTTTTTCCAGTTTTAATCACCTGGTCCATTTGTTTTAGGGATGTCCCGATCACATTTTTTTTTTGCATCCGATCCGATACCGAGTCCTTTATTTTGAAATCGAGTCCGATACCGAGTCCGATCCGATACATTGCAAAGCATTAAAAAAGTATTTTAAAGTACTTTAAATAGTATCCAAAAAGCTTATCGGTGGTTCAGCAGCACAAAATGTAAACAAAATATCTTCTTCTTGTCTTCAACAAACAAAATAGGCCTATATCTTTATACAGTGGAAAGCAGAGGCAACAATGAACAACATAGATGAAAACCTGGCCATTTTTGTTGTTTTGATTCCTCCAATCTTTTATTACCGATTCCGATTTTGTAAAAATAACGTGATCGGCGCCGATACTCGGATCGGACATACCTAGTTTTTTTTTAGAGAGGAAAAGAGCTTTGCAGATAATTTGGCTCCTGTTAAAAACCTCCTTGAATGATGAACACTTAAGGAATTTTTACCTGGAGTTCACACTTGTAACATGAGAAGTTTCAGCTCGTTGAAATCTGCTACCCTCACAGCTAGTTTCTTTACTCCTCTATGACAGTAAACTGAATATCTTTGGGTTGTAGTCAAAACAAGACATTTTTAGGATGTCATGAATTTTATCGACATTTTATAGACCGAACAGCTAATCGATTAAGTGACAAAATCATCAACAGATTAATCAACAATGAAAATAATCACTAGTTGCTGCCTTAATTCATTGATAATGACAGAAATCTTTGGTTGCAGCTCTACTGTTCTGTCACTGATAATAATATGACTAGTTGTCATTTAAGGAGTTAAATACGTGAACAGAATTCAGGTAACCATTTCAAGCTGTGTTTTTTCTGTAGCGAGTAACGATTGAGGCAGGAAGGTGAGAGCTGGTGTGAAACATCATGTAATGGTGGATAATATTTTAGATAGTTGGCCTCCCACAGAGATTTACAGCAGGAGATTTGAGCCAAACCACAGCCTGGTGCAGAGTCGAGACACCCAAATGGCACCATTACCCCCAACTAAATGCTGAGTCCCCTGTAGCTCCCCCTGAACGAGTGCAGCTATAAAAGTAAAGGTTTTGCCTTTCAATCTGCTCTCCCACAGCTATGTTTAGGGCTTTTCAGTGAAGGTGGGAAAGGGAATTTAAGGTTCAAAGTGAGAACTGCCTACCACCAACAAGTCTAAAATAGTTCTCGGGAAAATAATGGCCTTGGCTTGGTCTTTCTTGACACCAGGAATGCAGTGAGACCTGAGCACTGTACTCTGCATGTTAACGCTGAGATGCATACGCTGTAGTTTCTCATTCAAGTTCCCTCCGAGCTCATAGAACATTATCCCGCTCGCGGTAACACGCCGACCGACCTCTAAGATCGTCTCTTAAATCCTGGTTGTTCCTCTCAGCTGCTGAGCCGATCCTGGGAACAGAACAGGAGAGTTGAGATTAAAGTTCACTCTGGATGAAGTATTCATGAGTAGATCAAAGCCACTTCCCTGTTCTCTGAAAGTTTAAGCTTATTTAACGGTGAAACCTGCAGCCCCTGGCCTCTGAGAGTTGCTCCGGCTGCTCGACTTGGAAAAGTACCACAGTTGCTACTTCTGCAGTCTCCCCGTCTCTCCAGCATTCATCAATTCCTTGTATACCTGTTACCATAGCAATCAAGGATGAGGATGTTTTTTTCTCTATAAATAATTTAGAAGCATGTATATTTCAGAGAGCAAGGACAGCATTTGAAAGCCCTAATGATGTTCGGGTGCATGGCTCCGACTAGATTTGACGATGTTCAGTATCTTGAGCAGAGACATTTAAACTCAGTTCAAACGACGGGTCCAACAGATGGAAACCACTCCTTCTGCCAGCCTCACACACACACACAGATAAGGATGAAAGAAATAACAACCTGTTGTTTACCAAAGGATGTGGATACGCATGATCTGCTATCTCTCTGATGTTTTTGATCTTTGTTATCTCTTCTGATGTGTTACAAACTGCCTCGGATGCCCACCGTGTTTCCCGATATCAAAACTGATGTAGTGATTAATTTGGTGAAACTGCTTCCAAGCTGTTCCTTCTTATAATTATAGTGCCGTAGCCTATTTAATTCAACTGACCGTCTCCTCTGGCTGTCCACTAAGTAGTCCAGTTCCACAGTGACATGTTGCGCTCCAGCAACATGCCAGGGAGTTCAGAGCTCAAAGGATTATGGCCACTTCCCACCCTCAGGGGTCAGAGCATCTACTACTCATTTCCTGTTCTTTACTGGGTCAAGCTTTAGATTTCTTGGTATTTACATGAGGCAGGGTGGACGGCATGAAGGCTCAGTGGTTAGCTCCCCGCAGCGAGAAGGTGCTGCCCGCTTCTTTATATGAAAAGCTTCCTCCCACAGTCAAAGCCCATGTGTGCAGCAAAGTTTTTTTTTATAAAAATGCCCTTTTCTTTCTGTTTTCAGCTCCCATGTTTTGCACCCAGCTGAGCTTTTTGAAAATACTCCAAGCTGGTGGTTTTGAAAAAATCCAGGCTTATGTTGTGAGGAGAGGGAAGACAGATGACTGCTGCACTTTGCTTTGGGAAGCAGGTCATGAGGCCAAGTTGTTCATTGTTGCCATTAAAAGAAAGACAGTTGAATGTCTTGGCAGGTCATATTTCAATAGGGGGCTGTACAACAAATAAATGTATGGATTATGGATAATTAAATAGTGGGTTTTACATGGCAAGTGCAAAAGCTTTATTTGGTAGTGCAAGTAAAACATTTTTAAACATTAAAGGAATACTTCACCCCTCAAATTAACATTTGTATTTCACTTATTCAGCCTGTGCTACATTGAATTTGGGAAGAATATTCATGCCGGACAATCCAAAAACTGGAAACTATTGAAGTCATAACTTTGATGATGTCATAATCAATTATATATCAAAACATCTACTAACAACAGGGCGTCGATAGGTCCATAAAAAGTCTTAAATTGTCTTAAATTCAGATTCAATGGGTGTTAAATATTTTCAGTCACATTACCGCGGAAATGTCTCTGGCCTGACAGACCCAATGACTTGTGAATATTTACAATCATTGGACAGACCGAAAAAATGCAATAATTAATAGCATTTATGACTGATGAAATTTTGTGGTCTTTTTACATTAAACACATAAATCTTAAACTCACCTAACTGTCACTTTTCCTTACTGTTCATTTTGAGCTGACATCAGTCTGTTTACCGGGAAAGAGCATGTACACTTGTGTCTCATACACACACACACACAAATATGGATGGATGGATGGATGGATAAAATGTGTATTTCCATTGCAGATTTGGTCTTAAATTTAGTATAAGGGGGTATTAAAAAGTCTTAAATTTAACCTGGTTATATCTGTAGACATCCTGTAACAAACTCACACAACTCGTGAAGTATAATCCAAGTGTCATTTATCCAGTCCGATGCTCAGTACTTCCCAAAAAGACAGCCCTTTCTGCCAGGAAACTGACCTCAAAGTGAAACTTACCCATGTCCTCTTCAAAGCCAGACGCCATTGACAAAAACAGTAATTTTACCTAGCTGAACACAGCAGCTGCAGGTCTACCACTTCCTCAATCTGTTGTTTGTTTGTGTTGTTGTGTGACTTTAGTGAATCCAAACTAACCGTTTAAAACATCAAACTCACACAATAACACAACCAAACTAATCAATCGAGGCAGCAGTAGACCAGCAGCTGCTGTGTTCAGCAAAGTAAAATTAGAGCATAGATAGATTTCTCTTAAAGGTCAGTTCTGTTGGAAAGGGTTGTCTGTTTGGGAAGTACTGAGGGTACAACTGGATAAATAAGATTTGGATTATACTGTGTGAGGTGTATGAGAGTTGGTAAATAGATATTTTGATATAGTTTTACTATTGACTTCAATTGATGAAGAATTTTATCAGTTTTTGGATTCTTCGTTCACTGTGGAGGCATGCGGAAAAAAACAAGGTTTACTGGGTGTGTAATTGACATACAAATGGTCATTTGGGGAGTGAAGTATTCATTTAAGCACAATGCTAATTAGGGCTGCAACTAACGATTATTTTCATTGTCGACTAATCTGTCATTATTTCTTCGATTAGTCGACTAATCATTTTATCGAAAAATGTGTTAAAATGTTGAAAAATGTCGGTTTGTCATTCCCAAACCCCCAAATGATGTCATCTAATGTCTTGTTTCGTACTCACGCCAAAGTGTTTTAGTTCACTGTCACGGGAGAGTGTGTAAAGCTGCCAATATTTGAGCGTAAGAAGCTGCAATAAGAGTATTTTGGGGTACTTTTATAGTACTTTTCTATGGAAAAAGACTCAAACCGATTAGTCGACTACAACAGTAGTCACCGATTACTTTAATAGTCGATTAGTCATCGATTAGTCGACTAATTGTTGCAGCCCTAATGCTAATAGAGATTTGGTAAAGTATAATTGTCTGTCTTTGTAAACTGTAAATATAGTGGAAATATAAGAACAAAAAACTGGCTGATTGCTTCCATACAGTTCCTCATCATCACTTTTCTCTGAGTACATCCTCTGTCTGTGTCTGACAACCCGATGTGGGTCTGTGTCTGTCCTCAGGTACGAGAAGGTTCCTGTGATCCTGGTGGGGAACAAGGTGGACCTGGAGAGCGAGAGGGAGGTATCGTCCAGTGAAGGTCAGGCACTGGCCGAGGAGTGGGGCTGCCCGTTCATGGAGACCTCAGCCAAGAGCAAAACCATGGTAGACGAACTGTTCGCTGAGATCGTTCGGCAGATGGACTACGCCGCCCAGCCAGACAAGGATGACCCCTGCTGCTCCTCTTGCAATATACAATAGCCCCGGGGGCTAGGCAAAAAGTCCACTTAGAGGAAGCTACTTCGACCCGCAGCAGAGGGACACACACTTAGACACACACACATGTACATGCCAATTAAACGGTAGAAAAATTCATGGTTGAACGCGACGGATTTTAACTCCACGGAGCATAAAATCAGCAGTGACATGATTATTAATAACGACATGTGAGTAATGAATACAGTTTGAACGAGGAATGCCAGGAATTTGCCGCAAGAGAAATTGACAAATGACTAAAAGGAACATGCCCTCGCCTTATGTTAGTCTCTTCTGTTGTTCGGGTTTGTTTTTGTCCTTTTGAGGTGTGGGGGGGATCATCAGCACACAATCACAGATCAGGATCTTTACTCTTTAGGTTGTTCTACGGTCTGTTCAAAGTGAGTAAATAATGTTTTCTGGTTTTGTTTGTATGAGAGAGGATGCATCTTTTGTTACCACCACTCAGTAGCTACTGTACACAAATCCAGTAACAGATATCTGGGATCCAGTTGTTCTAAATGTTAAGGAGTATTTGATTTGCAGTATGTGCATTTTTCCTCCCAGCTTATTTTGTGCAAGTGGTCGGCGGGAGGTTTTTCTACTCATCACAGGGCTGAACCAAAGAGGTGACCTGAAAGCACCTCCATTTTCTTATTTTTGTTTTTTTTTCCAGTCGTTGAAAGTGGAATGGAGAGAAAATGGTGGATAAGTCAGTGTCTTTCTTGAAACATTGGTGCAGTCATCTCTTTCCTATTTTCTCACTATGAGATACAATAGCAAACAATTGCAGAGTCTTTCACATATCGTGTGATGTTCCGTTTTCCTCTCTGGGGGACTCTGACAGCAGATTGCCGAGTAGTAATATAACTAACTGCTTCATCCTGATGGGACAAAGAGTTCATCTTTTCAGTGTTTGAATATCTCTACAGACGATCGCTCTAATCTCTTTTCAGGAATGGGTGACATTTTAAGTGAAGATGCCAACATTTGTCATACTTTACTTCTTTTTTTTTCTCCTCCGGTATCAATATGAGAAATGGGGTGCGTACGAGTTTCAACATCCTGATCCCATGCTGTATGTGCTCAGAGTATTCAAATCCATAGTAACAAATAGTAACGACGAAGGCGATGATAATAAGAATAATAAATGGTAGTGTAAATATTTTGTATTGAAAGTGCCAGCTCCTGTGAAGACACTGACTCAACACATGTGGAATTGTCAACTGTATGCATGGCTAGTAAACAAAAAAAGGACTCTTATTGTTTGAGATAAATATAGGCTGTGGAAATGTGCAAACCAAACACGTCTGGATCTGGACACTGTCTCAACTGTACATCTGTGTTGCCACGGGAACCAAACTTTCCCCGTGTGACCATTTTCATTGTTGATTTTATATTTTTTTATGTGACCATTTACTCTTTATTCCCTCTCTGAATGGTGACACTGTTACATTTGACACCTAAACAATAAAAGTGCGTTCAACACTCGACTGCGGCCTCCAAGCTTAAGTGAAATGAAGTAAGTGGACTGACATGCTGAAAGAAACGCTGGTTCTTTGTTGCACTCTGACGCTGGTTTTATAACCAAATTGCTTCTTTTCTTCTGTACTTTTCTAACTTGTAATTCTGCATAATTACTATGTTAACTGTTTTTTAAGTTTCCCAGAGGCCTTAAAGGGATAGTTCAGATTTTTTGAAGTGGGATTGAATGGGGTACTTATCTATAGTGAGTGTATCACGCGAAACACAAAAGCTAAGCAATATACTGCAGTTGATGGGGGTCAGCAACAAAAATATTTTAGCCACCTAAATAAAGTCCCACCTAAGAAAGTGCACGCTATTTTGAGAGTATTTTCACTGCATTACTTTTCTATCAGACAGCCGACTCCAATGGGGAAGCTGTTAATGGCTTCAGTTCTCCATCTATGCTCTCATCAAAGCCACCAGACTCCATTAACAACTAGAATTACCACCCTATGGTTGTATGCTTCTGCGCACCAGTCAAGTTTCTCTCACAGTTCCACACACATCTCCCCCCCGACACAAAAGATCTATATAATCAGCACAGTTTCAAGATTAGTGTCACCAATTCAGCATCTGACCAAATGTCTTCCCTTCTGTTCCCGAGATATGACCTTTGACCTTTTGGATATAAAATGTCATCACGTCCTCATTTTATCCTACTAGACATATGTCTGCAATGTTGTCATAATTAGCATATGAGTTCCTGAGTTATGGCTGAAAGTAGGTTTGTGAGGTCAATGCCCTTGACCTTTGACCCTTGACCACCAAATTCTAATCAGCTTAATCTTTAGTCCAGGTGGACGTTTGTGCCAAATTTGAAGAAGTCCCCAAAAGGTGTTCTTGAGATATAACTTTCACAAGAATAAGAAAGATCTATAGATTTGACCTATGACCACCAAAATCTACATAGTTCATTGTTGAGTCCACGGGGACGTCTGTGCCTAATTTGAAGAAATTCTCACAAGGCTTTCTTGAGATACTGCGTTCATGGACAGATAGACAAAATGCTTCCAGCTATGGGTATTGCCGGCGCAGAGGCATAAAAACAGTAATTTTACTTAGCTGAACACAGGAGCTGCTGGTCTACCGCTGCTTCGATCAGTTAGTCACACAATAATACAAACAAAACAACTCTTCGAGGCAGCGGTAGACCACAAGCGTCTGTGCTCAACAATGTTAAATCGCTGTTTTTCTTAATGGAGTCTAGCTTTGATGAGAGCAATATAATGGCTTCATTCTGCTCCTGAAAATCAATAATGTCTGACCGAAAGGTAAAGCAGTAAAAATACTCTCAGTTTATTGTACACTTAAACTCATACTGATTTTTTCAGGCAGTTAAAATATGTTTTGTTGCTGCCCCCTCCACAGCAGTATATTGCTTAGCTTCCATGTCGGACTCCAGCTTGCTAGTAGTTTAGTGTCTTTGGATAAGTACCTCATACAACCCCCTTAAAAAATCTAAACCCTTTAATCACAAACTGGTTTTGACCACTCTTTCATGATGCTTTGTACTGCCAAGGTTGCAATGGTATGAGATTGCCACGGTACAATAATCGCCTCAGAAAACAACACAGATTCATAATATATGGTATTAGACTACTGTATGAGTAACAGTGACATTTAAAGCAATGAAAACAGAAGGGTTTTTTTGTTGTTGAATAGGTGCTTTGTTATAATTGAAACTTGAGACTATTTTTTATGGACGTTGTGTAAAAAGTCTGACAGGCATTGGAGGAGAAAAGGAGATGCACTGCTAAGATTTTCCATTTGGTTTGATTATTTTTTTCAATTCCATAGACAAGCAAATATACAGGGTAACTGTTAAGCTCTTTGTCCAGCCTTCTGTCAGCTGTCTGTTTGACACATGATGGTGGAACAAGAGGAAGGTCTGGCTTACCTCCTTCAGGTGTTGCCTCTTACCCCTGCACTTTATCTCTTGTGTTCAGGCAAACAAATGTTGCAGCTAGCGTCAAGCTGCTCACTGAGGTTCTTAAATTGAAACTAGAGGAGCTATCTCTTGGGCCAGGTAGCCTGAGGCAGGTCTGCCTTCTTCTCAGCAGTCTTTTTTGGGCTTCAAGATGAATTCTGTGTCTGTCCAGTAATGTCTGACACAATCCAAGCATAGTCACTGCTGCTTATGCATTGTTCTACCGTGACTCAGCCTCAGAGTCTGATGGCACCTACCTCAGCTGTGGCTTATTTAACGGGCTCAGCCTGATCTGAATATATCGTTAGCTTTATCAGTGAAGACAGCTATTGGTAGTTTGTTATTCTCCTCCTTGTTGGTTGAACAAGAAGGAAAGGTTACACACTTTTATTCCTTTTTCACCAACATGGAACGGATTTCGTGTCTGCTACACACCTAATGGAGTCATTTACTACCAAAAATAAATTGATTTTGAACCCGAAAGGTTGGTTACCAGCTGGAACCCAGAAATCGCAGGTTTTCCTTGGCCCAAAGTGCAAACTGCGACGACTTCAGTGGACGTGTCAAAAACTACAGATTGGAAAGAGAGGATGGAGTCTTGCACAAAATATTCTTTTTATTTTTAATGCATGTTTGTTTTTAGCTAAAAACAAATATCTGTGATAACAGAGAAAAAGTTCACAGGTAATCATTAACTTTCCATATCTGCTTATCCTGTTGGAGGTTGCGGGGGGGGCTGGAGCCTATCCCAGCTGACATTGGGCAAGAGGCAGGGTACACCCTGGACAGGTCGACAGGGCTGACACATAGAGACAGACAACCATTCACACTCACATTCACACCTACGGACAATTTAGTGTCACCAATTGACCTGCATGTCTTTGGACTGTGGGAGGAAACCAGAGTACCCAGAGAAAACCCAGGCTGACACAGAGAGAACATGCAAACTTAACACAGAAGATCTCCCCCACCCCAGGGTTTGAATCCCCCACCTGGGGTTAGAAGCAAGAAACCTGCACTACCATGCCACCACAGGAAACCAATGCGATGCGCTATCTTGCAACTAGGATACCGTTTATTTTGATTGTGCATTGTGCAACACCCTCTGTTGATAGTTCATTCTTGATTACTGTGGTTCGGCTTAACACTGGTGAAAACACAGGCTGGTTTGCTACATAAAATTAAGATTCCAAGAATCCTGATTCAAGAACCAGAGCTAATTTGGTGGGAAAGCAGTATTTGTACAGTATTTGTATTTGCTTTTATTTGTTTAGATCTCTCTTATTGTGGCATCTCAGGCAATACCTTGTAAGAAAGACTGTAGGCTATTTAAGATAAAAGCTCATTTTGTTAGCATTCAGTGACTACAGCTCCCATCAGGCTTTAAAAGTGGCTGCTTTGACAGAGGCTCATGGGAGATGCCAACAAAACAAACAAACAGATAAACCCTAATTCATCTTTTCAAAAAGACAAAATAAATTGTCAGGCAGAGGCTAGAGGAAGAGGCCATCTTGGACTGAAGGATGAGACTCAGCTCTGTGTTTGCTTGTACTTACACAACTCTAAATTTCCTTTGACACAGAGATATCATTTAGCAGATGTGTTGTAGTAAAGCTAATGGATTTTGGACACAATTTTTCCTCTGTCCTCTACCCTAAAACTGGTCTGCAGTCCATTGCAACAGAGTAAGTTAGTTGGTCACAGGTAGACTCAGTTTGAACACCTGGTTGAGTGTGGCTTGACGAGGCTGACTGCTAGCTTTAGCATCAGAGGCTGTGCTAGCTGGGACCTTCAGGTTCGTTGCTAACTGCTTTGTGTTGAGGTGATATTTTAGGCTTAACTACTCCGATTGTACGAAAATTCCTTACTGCACAAATTGCGGAGAGTGGTGTTCCTATCAACAGTTCCAACTGGGTATTTTTTAGATGTAAACATTCCATTCACGGTGCTAAGCAGCGTCACCTCACCTGCCTCCATCATATGACAAAGCCACTGTGGCCTTCAATGACGCACCGGGTCAAATGGCACCACGGAGAGCAATTAATCAGTGTTAATTTTTTTAACCCGTTATTTTTTCTGTGATAAATCAGTCAAAAGTAACGCGTTATTTTGTCAGCCCTATTAAATATGTTTTTCAGTTTGTCTAGAACAGCATTATTTATTTATATTGACCTTTAAATCTGAGTAGAGTTTAACACTGGAGCTGTTGTTTTCAGTTCTTTGACACATATCATTAGAGACCTACCTTTAATTTTGAAATTTCTAAAGCTGATATTTCAAGTAAGGTCACAGAATTTGATGAATGACAGAATTAACCTGTAATACCTCCTTTTATTTGAATATGAGGCCATACTTTTCTTATAGTGCCCTTTGTAGAGTATCATTAAAAACAGATTGTACAAGAAATAAGAGAACCTAATACACAATAGTTAAATATATTTTCAGTTTTGGGTAACGTGGATTTGGAGTTAATCCGTTGTGCCAGACAGGGCAAGGACCCAGAAACTGAATTCATAGATAAAATGGTTTTTAGAGATGATTAAAAAAGACTGGCCCCTCTGTGTTTTCCCTTCTCCTTTCTCCTTGGTTTGCCTCCCAACTAATTTTAGAGATTGTTTTGAATCACTGATGCAGAGTGGAAGTGGCCTGTTGGGAGAATCAGCAGTTAATAGATCCAAGGAAAGTGTGTGCCAGCATGTCCTCTGAGGCGCTTGTCAACATCCACCTTCAGCTACCTGAGGCAAGCGGAGCTGGTAAAGAGCGAGCCTGTGTGGTCTGTTTGTGCTGTCTGGCTTGCCGAGGTGTTTTATCCACCCTGATGAGACGGGGCAGAGGGCTGAAGGACCTGATGGTGAGAGGTCTCAGTGGGGTTCATTAGGAAGCAGAATCCCTCTGGCATCACTCAGTCTTCAGCAGCATCATTTGTGTTTGTGGTAAAATATAGTCAAACACACTTTAATGTCCCTGTTGTCCAGTGGAAGAGCTTTAATGAGAATGGATTACCAACTGCTTTGCAGGAGTCAGCCTATTAGTTGTTGT